TTCAATTGTGAAATAACATTCCTGTAATCTTATGTTGAGCCAGGTTTTTAATGCTCTTATAAATAATTTTTTCTTGAATATGGACACATTTTAGGTGTGATTTATTTTTATTATTAAGTGAGTCTGATTTTGGTTAATTTGATAGGAATTGGAACTAGCATCTTTGTCTTTTATTGCTAAGGAGAAAGGAAGGAAATCCTCTGTTGCACTTGAAAATTAAATTACAGGTCTTTATTTTCTATGCTAAGTAAAACCTGTTACATTCTTAAGTGTTAAAAAACAATACTGTTAAGTGTAGTGGAATCATGCTTTATAGACTTTGCTTTTCAAAAGATCCAAATTATTTCAGGATGAAAAACCCCAGTAAAAATGTGATGGATACGACCTACTTTAAACCTAGCCTAGTTATATAGTCTTGTTTGATAAGTAATTGATTAGGTCAGACTATTAAACTATTTAATCTGGCATGTATATTATGCATGATAAAAGAAGTCCAACTGTGAATTTGAGTGTATTAAATAATCTTCAGGAAGTTCCTCAAAGAATATTTGAATGCCTTAAACCTTGCAATAATGCATGTTTGTTCCAAACACATTGATTTGTCTAGGTTTGCCCATCAGGTTGAAGAACTGCTTAATCTTGTTGCATTCAGCAGCTGGGTTTTTGCAATATTCTTTTCCTTCTCCTAGGGGTTAATTAGCCTTCTTTCAAAATATGGCCTATTTAGCTGTAGATTCAAATGATTCAGCCAGAGCTGGCTGTACAAAGCAGAACCATTAACAGGCGGGTGTGTCCAACTGCTTAATTAGCTAGAATAAAAAGGTCCTTTGTCAAACAAGCATCTGTTGCTCATGACACACCTGACAGGCACATTAGGCAAGGATGACTAGACTGAAATTGTGCTTGTGTCTCCTGCAAGAATATACAATTCATTTACATATGGGCTGTATCATCTATGAACTGCAGGGGTTTATTTAGCTTATCAAAATGGATTAATGTAACTGTGTTTGTGGCTGATAAACAAATATCACTTGAAAGGAGGTTGTGAAGGAACTAAATTAATGAAATTACTCCCAAACATAAACAGAGCACCAGAAACCACTGCTGGATGAAAGAGAACACCTTGAATGTACTTATAAACTGTTCTGCTGGAAGTAAAATGAAACCCACAAATGGAGCATTCCTTAGCACTGCCCTCTTATGATGATCCTTACTTTGCATAACTGTTGGAAAGCTACCTAATACTCTTAAAGGTGTCAGTGAGTTTAATCACATTAAGAAAAATTTAAGGAGAAGATTGTACTCTTCAACACGCTTTAACATTTTATTGCTCTGTTGTTATTAGGTCTTAAGAATTAATCACTTAAAATTTGTATGGAAAATTGCTTATTGGTTGGCTTTTTTAATGACCTCAGTAGGAAAGGAGGAAATATTTCCTTAACTTTCATGTCAGAAAGAAGGGCTCTATGTCCCTTGTTGAAGTATAGATAAAATACTATGGACCTAGAATCTAAATGACTGCTCTTCAGACCAACAGTCTCTAGCTTTTCATTTGGAAGCCCAGTCATTATGGTATTGTAAGTAGTGATTGACATCATGGACTTCAGAAGCAGATGGATATAGATGGATCCAGGTTCTTACTCTTTCTAGTTATGTAGCTTTTGTTTAGTTTTGAAATTTATTTGTGACTTAGTTTCCTCATTGCTAAGTAGGGAAAATAACACCTCCATCATGGGGATCGCCCGAGGATTAAATGAGACCATGTTTTTAAAGCAGATAGCCTTAGAAAAGCACCAGGAAAGACTTACTAAATAAGAATTATGTTTATGAACTTCAGAGCTAAACTTTGGAAGGGGTGTGATTGAGACCCTCTCAAGGATGAGGCTTGGCAGAGAAAGGCTCTTCCTCAAAGCCAAAGAGGATAATGAAATCACAGGAGAATGAAATTATGTTTGTGAATAACAAAAACAAAAACAAAAAAATGCAGACAAAACTGAGGGGATTGGTTCTTAATTGCATCCAGAAGTCAAGCACCCCTGCAGCCTTGGGTAAGTGACTTAACATCTCTGATCTTCAACTGACTCACCTATCAAATGAGGGAAATCATGGCTTTATAAAAGCTGGGATATTAACTCTTCTTTATAAATAGATGAATCAGTATAAATATTATCAGTATTGTTTTGAACCAAAAAAGCAATTTTCTACTTGCAATTTATAGAAATAATACTCAAATACCTATAGGGGCCAAGTGAATGAGTATTGCCATTTAAAAATCATGACTATAAAACACATAGTATGAGCTCACCTTCTTTCAAGTTTTGACACTTTTCAAGAAAGTCTGGAACTCTTTATTTTAATGCAAAATTTTCTGATTTTTAAATATTAGGGATTAAGGATTTTGATTTGTAATCAATCCATTCAAAGAAAATCTGTGTGTAGAGTGTAATATGGTCCATAGGAGATCAATTTCCAGTCTATGCCTTTTATTTCCTGATATAATCTCTGGGGCAGTTTATTTGGAGTGGGTATGAATTGCTTTAAGGGTACATATAATTTTTAAACAACTTTTTTACATTTCTACATGTGTTTGATTTAAAATAGTAGCTGTCAAAATATGGGTCATGTACCGAAAAAGGATATGTAGACCAGTCTGCAATACAGCGGATGAGCCCAAGAGCTAGTCATAGCAAATTTCCCAGCTAATTCTGGAAGAAACATGAGAGAATATGAGAGTAAAATGGCTATGCTGTAAGAAACTCACCTACAGTTGCGTGAGCAAATTATAATAACTTTGGTCAATCTGTCTTCTTTCTCTGTGTAATAAACTGCCAAGACCACCATCCATCTTGGAGTTGGCAAGAGAGACTGGCAAAAACTTCTTAGAAGATGGTATCTAATACATGGTTCAGTCCTTGAAGAAAATATTTCCTTAATCTCCCTAATTGATCCTCTGTTGTAGCACAAATGCTATCAGTAGTCTACAAGTATATAATGAATCAACACTGGTTTTGGCTTTTTTTTTTGGGGGGGGGGTTTGATCCCCTATTCCCACCAGTCTATCATGGAAGAAAGAAGAAGAAGCAGGAATAGATAGGCTTCGTAATTTGTGTATTCTCTCTGAAAGTTTTGGGAGTCATTGGCCCTCTAGTAATTATAATTAGGTAAGGGTTTTGTATAGTGAATACTGCCATTCTTATGGATTTTTCGACATATCCATGGCCTTAATACTAGTCCAAAGGGGTGTGTGTATGTGTGTGTGTATGTGTTTATGTGTGTTTACCACATTTTTAAACAGCCACAATTTGTAAGATTTCATATTAAAAAATATGGATTTTTCAGCTTCTTTTAGAAAAATAGATCTATTATCTACAGATTTGCCTTCCCACAAAACAACCATATCCTGGAGGTTAAAGTGAGCTGAATCATATACATGGAGTATTAGCCACAGTTTTCATCACTATTGTTCAATTTTGTAACCTCTATTCTCCTGTACTCTCTATACCTGAGGTTTCTAGATTGTAAATGGAAATTATACTCATATTAACTATACTGTGTTGTTATATGAGTTTTGTTTATGAGTTAATATGTAAAGCATTTAGAAGGGTCCTTAGCACTTGTTAAACAGTGATAGGTATTATTGCTATACTTTTGGAATGTACAAAGTGTGAAAGCCCAGTCACAAGTCATCTTCTGTCACCACTGAATCTCTTAATTTCTCTCTGTGTTAGTTTCTTCTTTTATAAAATAAGCAAAGTAGATTTGATGTCCTCAGAGGTTTATTTATAAAATTGAATGAGATGATAGAAGGTTTGGGGAAAAAGAATTCGAAGAGGTCACGCTATGACAAAAGAGGGGTTAATTTTCTCCTTGAGAGAACTAAATACTCAGATTTTTTAAAAACAATTTTTTAAGGGAAAATTAATGCTCACTCTACTTTTTATAGATTTAAGTTATGATACAATATTCTTAGGCTACCAATTAAATACTGTCCCTCCCACCACAGGAAAGAAAATTAGAATTTTGGTCCCTGCTCAGTAGTAAGGAAATTTGCGTTTATTTTATTGAATGTGTAAGTAGTGAAAAGGGTGACGTGTCAAGGCTAGGAAGCCTGAGAAAATTAGTGAACTTGATCCTTTGGCTAGTTTTGTGTATATCAGTTGATTTTGGATGTAAACTTTTTTTAGATTACCAAATTGTAAGTTTTTAAGTTGGAAACGACCTTGGAAATTACTTATTCTACATCCATAACCTAGGAAAGTGTCTAGAAAGTATAGTTTGTGACATATTTTATAACCAGTTAGGTCTTGTGTTCTGAGAGTTAAGAAAATTTTGAAATAATTTTGAATCTGTGGAACCAACCTAGATGCCCTTCAATAGATGAATGGATTAAAAATGTGGCGCATATAGTTATATATATATATATTCTCTTTTATTGCTGAGTAATATTCTGTTATATATATATAAAACAGAATATTACTCAGCAATAAAAGAGAATAAAATCATGGCATTTGTAGGTAAATGTAGAGAAGATAATGCTAAGTGAAGTTAGCCAATCCCCAAAAAACCAAGTGCCGAATGTTTTCTTTGATATAAGGAGGTTGATACATAGTGGGATAGGGAGAGGGAGCATGGGAGGAATAGATGAATTCTAGATAGGGCAAAGGGGTTGGAGGGGAAGGGAGAGGGCATGGGTTTAGAAATGATGGTAGAAAGTGATGGAAATTATTATACAAACTACATGATGTATGGTGTGAATATACTTTGTATACAACCAGAAATAGGAAAAATTGTGCTCTATATGTGTAATAAGAATTGTAATGCATTCTGCTGTCATATATAAATAAAAAAGAGATTGAAATAATTTATAACAAAGTCTAGCATGGTAGCTTTCAATGATGTTCAGTGTTTCAGGTTAAGAGGTAGTGAGGATTTTTTTCAATGAAAATGTGGATTAGTAATTTTCTGCATTTATTTAAAAAGTGGTCAGAAAAACTATAAACATGCATGAGTTGTCATGGCAGTATATTGGGTTGGGAGGTATTTTGAGAGTTCTAAGTCTCCCAATAGGATATTAAGAACAAATGAAATGAAGCTCAGCATGCAAGGTGAACATTTTAAACTTTACTTCTATTTTCATGTATTTCAGAGACCATCATGCAGACATCAGAGACTGGGTCGGACACAGGTTCGACAGTGACTTTACAGACATCTGTGGCTAGTCAAGCAGCAGTGCCTACGCAAGTGGTACAGCAGGTACCAGTACAACAACAGGTGAGGAGCTGCTGTCCTCAGAGGGGAGGTTGTGACCTTTATTGTGTGCAGCATCCAGCATAGCTAAATCCAAAGATTATTTGGACTTTCTTGCTTCTTTGGGTGCTAAGATTGGCATAGTTCAGTCTTTAGGCATAGTCTGGATATTGCTAGTTTCTTTGCTAGGATGTAGAGAGAGCTACAAAGACTACTCAGATTATAATCCCTCTTCTGAAAGAGCCTCTCTTATATCCTAGAGAAATACATACATCCTTCCTATCCTTCCTGTTCCAAATTTCTGACTTAATCCCACTAAGAAGGGTTTTCTCCTCTCCTCTCCCCATTGTTTATTACATCTTCTTATTTCTTTCATAGTGCAAGGTCAGGAATAATACTTACTTAATTGGTTCACAGTAGCACTTAATAAAGGAAAGCATGCATATACCTTATAGTCAGGGATTTTGCCTTTGTAGTGGTTTAGAAAGTCTTGGCATTAGATGGCTGCTAAATACTGTTTAAAGAAAATAAAATTATATTAAAGGTCTGGAGTGACTCATCCCTTTTAAAAAGTTGGAAAAGAATTCATTGTCAGATTTTTACTACAGGTTTTATTCATGCTCAGGGCATTTGTCTTGTTTTGGAAAGATACTGACAAAATAAATGCTGTTCATGTCAATTAATAGTTCTGCATTTGGATTATAAACCTGTTGGTCTATCATTTCTTCCAAAGACTGATGAGAACATAAGAAAGATTGTATGTCATATGTCATTATCTTGATATTTGAGATTTGCCTGTAAATTCTTAGTGTGTAGGAGAATCTTTAATAAATATTATTCCTACAATTATAAATAAGTATAGTGAGAGTGGTATCATTTCATAAATGATATGCAGAAGGATTCAAGGTTATATTCTTTTCAAGATACAGAGTTGGATTGGGTATGGGGTAGGGAGGGCTAAGGCTAGAGAAGTCTGGGTTCAATCCCCAGCACTACCAAAAACAAGTCTTTGAGTTTTAGGGTGAAATATCTGAAATAACCAATTTTTAGAACTGTATAGTTTTAATCTTAGTACATTCTTTTGTTATTGCTACCATATATACACATACATCCTTCCTATCCTTCCTGTTCCAAGTTTCTTAGGTTAGACTATATGTAGTTTTATTTTACAGAAACATTTTTATGTTTCACTCTATTCGTTCGTATCTTATATTTCTTACCTTTTTAAAAAATTTTTAATCATTAAAAATGAGTCTCTATAAAACAAAGTTTTAAAAGCCTCTGGAATTATTAATGTTGTTACCAGTTTGAAAAAGTAAACATTATTCAGAAAAGGATGTTTATATTATGTTAACCAAAAAACAAGTTAAGAGAACTGAGGTCTTATTCTCCATATCTAACTTAAAAGAGAAAATGTTGAACAATGAAACTCACTCTGGTTTTGTTGTTATCTCATTTGTGGAAGAGCACTGTTGGAGAACGCTTGTCTCTAACAAGAATATGACAGAGAAAGTTTTCTTATATCCAGAAAGTACCCTCCTGAGACATTAAAATACCTGTGGTATATATCTGACTCTCTGCCGTGAACCTTGTCTTTTCTTCTCCTCCATTCTTCTTCCTCTTCTTCTTCTTTTCTGATTTAATGTATATATCATCTAGTGTTTACTATAGGTCTTACATAATATATATAGTAGTATAAAAGAGTCAAATAATTGAGCAGATTTACTATTTTTTTTTAGAAAAAACAGAATTTTTTCCTTTTCCCATAAACCACTCCTTTTTATTTACCTCTTTAGCCTAGTATATTGATATTTATTTCCATGTATAAAAGTAACAATACTTATTTTACTGTTTCCTGATTTTTTAAAAAAAATATTGATTGTTGTACTGTGAATTGAACCCAAGGCCTAACACATGCTAGGCAAAAGCTCTCACTGAGCTATGTCCCTGGCTGCTTCTTGAATTTTTAGTTTTAAGAACTTTCTTAGCATGCTCTTTTTTTATTTAAAAAAAATTTTTTTAGTTGTAGATGGACCCAATACATTTATTTTATTTATTTTTTATGTGGTGCTGAGGATTGAACCCAGTGCCTCACGCATGCTAAGCAAGTGCTCTACCACTGAGCCACAATCCCAAACCCCCATGCACTTCTTTTTTGACACACACACACACACACACACACTCTTCCATTCCCTAATATACAAAAACAAGAATTTCCTTTTGTTTTCTTTTAAATATATTTTCAGTTGTGGATGGGCACAGTTCCTTTATTTTATTCATATATTTTTATGTTGTGCTGAACCCAGTGCCTCACACACATGTGCTAGGCAAGCACCCTACCACTGAGCTACAACCCCAGCCCCCCAAACAAGAATTTCATGTGTCTCAACTTAATAGTTACATTTTAATTTTGGTAGATCAGTATTTATTACTTTTAATACTGTGATATTTAAATACAGTTCAAATCTAGCATAAAGTTAGCAGTGATGGCCTTTTCTTCTTGCCCAACTCATTTACTTTCCCTGGATTTAATGATTACATTTCTTCTATTTGCAAGATTGCTATGCAAAAACGAAACACCATTCTGATTTCTGATCTTTGTATGGGGCTCAGGTGATTTTTTTCCAAGTTTACACAATATTTAAATACCAATTTTTTGAAATTTCATGATGTCATGTCCTGAAGTAGGAGTGTATAATAAAATAATTTTATTTTCAAGTATTTAAAAAATATTACCCTTATATTCCTACTTATAACATCATGTTTTATTTCCTGGTTTTTTTTCTCTCCAAATATATTGATTTTTTAAAAAGTTTTTGAACTCTTCTTATGTAGTCTGTTCTTTCACGGTATTTTGTTCTCTTTTATTCTGTCTCTGTTTTTCATGTTTAAAGCTTTTCTTAGATGTCTGATAACCTTTAGTGCTTATCCATATTTTAAAATGTTCATATAATAAACTGATTTGAATGCATGAATGGGTTTGGTTGACTTCAAAATGGGGCCATATGACTGGGCTTTCTAGTTAGGAGATCTCTGATGTTCATGTCTTTGTTTTTCTTCTTTGGCTGGCCATATTTTTAAAGAAGACTTGTTCAACTTCCTGCTGGGTGGGTGAAAACTTGGCATCTGGGATCTGAGTGAGGAAAGAGAGTTTGTTATTTATTGCACTGATTAATTTACTCCTTCTGTTTTCATATGGTGTCACAGGTGTTTGGTCTTTCTCAGTGCAGAGATAAATCAAAGTAGACCTCCAAACATTTCCCCCAAATTTTGGGAAGGCCAATCACCTTACTATATAGGATTGGTGGGGATGATTTGATTGTTTCTTAAATAGAATTACTTTTTATATTAAATATGTGAAAAATAAAAAAACAAAAGTAGATTGCTGACAGAAGTAGAAACTCGGTGTTACCTGGACCATTCTTTGAAAAACACTGTACTATGCCATATGGCTCCCTGCCAGCAGGCATATTTTTTAGTTCCTCAAGTTAGCTCTTTCCTCTGGGATATCTGAGGCAGGTGATACCTTACATTGCCTTACACCAAGTGAAGAAGGTGAGAATTCTCATTTTCTTTTTGTCAACATAGTGTTTTATTTCACATAGTCAGTTAGTGTTACATTTGCCTGGAGATGCTTGTTATGTCCTCCTTGTAGGGTGATTGGAAGGATTTTTTTTCTCCTTTGTAATTTTTTTTTTCTTTCCAGCAAGAATGTGTCATGTTTGAAGTTCCCTGATGCATTCTAACAGTGTCCCTGTGGATATAAGTTGTCTATAACTGATTATAATGGTGCTATAGTAATTTCTTATTGCTTTTAACATGTCTATAATGTTTGAATTGTTAATGTGTTCATGTTATCTGGAATTTGAAAATTGTATTAGAAATGCCTTTTAAAGCTTCTAGCTTTTTGTTATTGACTCATGATAGATACTGAAATCATGGTGTTAATGTCAAGAGTAGTTAATTCTGTTGATTCAACTTTTCAATAGCCTTGCTTTGACCATTAAAGAGAAAGCCTACAGCTAATGTGTGTGGTTGGTGTGTGTGTGTGTATGTGTGTGTGTGTGCACGCATGTGCATGCATGCACACACGCGCACATGTGTGTGTGTGATTCACGCACACATAATTATATATATTTTGGAATTTTGGGAAAACAGGCAATTTCAAAATCCTAATATTATACACTTCTGTTTCTTCAAAGCTCTAAAGGCTCTAATTTCACTGTGTGTTAAAATAAGGTTTGATTCTCAAATTATTTCTATGAAATTTCATTTATGTGACCTCACATGTGAATTTGTTATCTTTCTTTGTAAAATATTGTTCAGGAATAGAGAATTCTGAGGAAAGAATGATACAGTCTTTTTATATAAAATTACAGCAATTTCTTATGTAAATTTTCATTGTTTTAGGAAATATTATAATCTTAGCTCCTAAATATAGGCATTGTTGCCCAATCCAATAAAATCCATAAAAATGTTCAAGTTCAATATCTTGATTAGAAACCAAAATGTATTCCTATTATCTTTTTAAAAATACTTTTTTGGACTAAGGTGTTTCTGTAGGATATGACTAAAAATGGACTGCCACCCCTCCCTTTCCATCTGTCTTGATTGACTTGTTTAAGAGTTTCATGTGGATTATTCTTTAGGGTTATTTTATGCCTAAATCTGGGAGATCCTGCTTGCTCTATAACTAAATTAAAAATCCAGGAGAAGGGAAAAGTAAATGTCTTCTTACTATTCCATAGCCACCCAAATTAGGTTCTTTTCAAGGTAGAACCTTGACAGAAGTTAGAATTTCATTTCTTGTTTTAATCTTGGGCTCCAGCATACTCCAGGAATACTGTGGACACTGAGGACATTTCCTAAACCATCTTGAACTATATAGCTCCTGAATTTTTTTCTCCCTTTGTTTCCCAGCTTTAACTGTCTTTGCAGCTATAGTTCACTCTACTCTCACTGTATTACATTTTCCTTGGAGGAGGGCACAAATCTTTTTCTCCCAAATGAGAAAGTGTGTTGTC